TATCGATGATGCTTTTCCATCTAACAATCAGGTTGTTAATACCCTGATTAAAGAAATAACTTGGCTTTGAAGCAAAAAACCTGTTGATTTCCTCTTTAACACCTTCCACATTTGCATATGTTTTCCTATTAAGATGGTGTTGCAGCGAACGAAGAAGATGGTAATTTGATAATGCCATATCTGGAGAAAATGGTGGGTGGGGGAAAACTTCCCAACCCAAATCCATAATCTTGTTTGCATTAAACATGCCACATGTGGGTGTGCATTGTCGTGGAGAAGAACACCTTTCCAATTGATAAGTGAAGGACGTTTCTGGTGAAGGGCTTGATTTAAACGTTCCAGTTGCTGACTATAGACCTCTGCATTGACAGTTTGCTGTGGATTGAGTATTTCGAAATGAATTACTCCTTTGATGTCCCACCAAATGCAAAGCCTCACTTTCTGCTGATGAAGTCTAGGTTTTTGGGTTGACAGTGGTTTTTCTCTAGGACTGAGCCATTGTTTTTGGCATTTATTATTACGTACCAGAAGAGATGAAGCAACATTCACACGTTGGAAACGATGATCATTGGAGAGTTCATGAGGCACCCAAACACCTTCTTTATGGAGTTTTCCCATATTCCTTTGATGTTCACGTACTGTTTCATGAGAGACATGCAATTTCAGTGCCATTTCACGAGTGTGTTGCCTTGGGTGAGACTCAACAAGTATCTTCAGAGCATCAATATCAATTCCAACATGACGGCCCTTGCCATCAAAGTTTTTAAAGCTAAAGCCACCTGAACAAAATTTACTGAACCATCGTTGACACTTAAAAATGTTCAAAACATTTCCATAAACTTCTTTGATATTCTTTGTGGCTACAGAGGCATTGTTTCCTTTCTTGTATTGAAACAGCATTACATGCCAAATATGTGTCTCGTCATGTGCAGTCACTATAAGGGATTAGAATATACTGTACTTTACACTTTATATAGGCTACACTAACGTGATGTTTAAGCGATTTATATATGATGTACGTTTCTTGGGGGGTGGTTAATGAAAGTGTTCCAAAACTCGACATTAATTTCTTGATGACCTAATATAAATTGTACAGTATTAATTTCTAGAATATGTGCAACAAATAGGATCTAAAAAATCAATTAGTTATGTGGTTGAGGTTTACATTTATAGCGCATGATGGTGTTAAATTTAACCCTCTGTTCATGAGGTTTGTCAATTTGAAGTTGTACGTAATCAAGTTTACTATAATTTTGAATTTACTATGACATTTTGTTGGGTAAAGCTGAGTTTATAAATATTACATTGTAGTTGCTTCTGTTGAAAAATAAATAAAAACAAGGATTTGTAGCACCCACTAACACTCGAAGCAGCTTATGCTAGATTACACGTTCTTCCAAAACCCTCATCGACTTTTAGTGTCCAAAAAAAAAGAATTCAATGTAGCTTTCAATTATGCATTTTAGAACACAAAAAATATATCAGTTGCTAGAATAGAATATTATAAAAACTAGAGTAAGTTACTTGGCTTTCTAATTGAGCTACAAATCAGTTTAAAAATTCCATAAATATTCAGAGCAACAAAATATGACCATCGCAACCAAATCATTTCACTGACTACTGCAGGAAAACTAAAGGTTGACTCCTAAATGTATGTAGATGAGAATTTGCTCTTTCTATTGGCCATAATCCCTAGAAGGTTGATTAGCAAACAATTTCAAAAGTCAGTGAAAGAGGGGAGAGGTGTCTCGAGTGGGTTTGACATATTTGTTGATATCAAGAAGAAAGTTCAAATACTAGATTCTTATTTGTAATTTTGTACAGCTTGTGACTGTAATTACCTGAAAATTGTAGCAGCATATTATTGAAGTAAGAAATTCTGAAGTTGAGATATAAGAGCTCGGGTGTGTTACTGACCCAGAAAAATAAAGATTGAGAATTCGTAAATATTTCTTTGAATTATAAATTACATTTTCATGCCAAGTTTATTGAGATGCATTGATAATAAAGTTGCTTAACCCTTTCACTATGCACTCGGTGGATTATGCCGACCTCATGACCCCAAAATGACCATTGGAGTTTCTATACTATAACTTTTAATATGTTTTGTGTATTTTTACAAAACTTTTCAAGCTTTTAGTAAACATTCCAAGTCTTTAGTGGACAAAAACCAGAATTTTTAACGAAGTATTTTAACTAAACATTTGTCCATAAATATATGGAGTAAGAGTGTTCATTTCTGTGAGAGCAAAATGATTTTCATGTTAAGATTAAAAATGTTTCTTCATCTGAAAATTTTCAAATTTCACTTGCACAATCTCTAAAACCTCCTAAATAAATATCAAACATTTTTTTCCCCAAAAACTATATATTTTTTTTATTTCCTCTATCTTAACCCTATGTGGGGTTGGTCTATTTGACCAATTTTGTAACCACCATAAACAATTAGGAAATAAATATAAATTACTCTTTTTTTCTTTCTAGAATGACTGCAAATTGTAAAAAGAAATCACAATTGTTTATCCTAAATAGCTTAAAGCTTGTAACAGTATACATCTGTTTATACTTAATTTTATTGATTTATTGAATTTTTAATTGTGTCCAACTAATAATCACACTGCACAAGTTGTAATTCACTTGGCAACTGTGCAGCTCACATTACCATATTGAATGACATAATGCACAAGCTGCTCAAAAGCATATCTCGTGAAGAATTATTATTATTTTGCCTTATCTAGTCTAACCTTACCTAACCTAACGAGTTTCTAATTTTTATATTTTAGTTATACCTTTATGATAATAAAGAATACACATGGAAAAACAAGTAATATAGTACTTACCTGGGTTCTTGTGTTTTTTGCAGTCATTTATCAAATTCCCAAATCTTTATTGAACATACTTTATTAAAATTTTTTTGTCTCATTTTGTGAAGATACACTTAGTACTTTCAGACTTATAATATGTAAAGTTTCATGTTTACATGTGGCTACAAGGCCAGTTGAAATTACTTAGTCCATATACAAAGTTAAAGTGACATTTTTTAATCTACCCTCTACGTGTTCATTAGCAGTAATGATTTTACCAATTAAACCTATATCTCCTATACAAAATGAATGAAATTCAATAACGATGCAGGTTTGAATTGAAAGTATTTCAGATTTGACAGATTCTTTAATCACAGGGTGAAATATCTATGTAATACTGAACATATCATTAATAGAACTAGCATTGTCACAACTAGAAACAATTAGATTCCTTATCATTTTTAGTGCAACTTTGAACGAAACCTTCACACTTTGTTATTTCTCTTTGAATGATCCCCCTCTAAAAGAAACACTTCCCGTTAATTTATTATAAGTACAGCGTAACACTTTTAGAAACCTTATATACATACATGCTCTCTAACAACTACTGGAGTAAACTTCTTGTTAAACAAGTCTTAGTGATAGTTTATACATGACTTTCATTAAAATGACCTTCTAATTCTTTTTTTTTTAATTTCTACCTCTTCAACATTGGCTGCAGTTTTAGCAGACGTTTCCATAAAAATTAGACCATGTTCCCTAGCAAATGCTTCTCCTTCTTCTTTCTTTACCTCTCTCCTTGATTCTAAGTCACTGAAAAGAAATTTTTGTATATATATAAATTAAGACCAACTGTTGCAAGTTCAGTAGTGATATACGTACACAAGCAGAAAGAGTCTCAAAATTGTGGAGAACTGTTTTTATCTTAATTTGTAGATTATGTGCAATGGGGTGCAAAAAGGATTCTTACAGATAACAGTTGTAAGGTAATATTTAATTTATATATATATTGAACACACTGTATTCAAAATATTTTCTTGTTGAGACTGTTGAATATAAACCAATAATTTCTATCACAGTCAGTTAGTATCTCAGAACAGAAAATATTTGTTTGTTTTGAATATAAACACAAAGCTTCTCAAATTCTATCTGCACCAACCATCCCAAATATTGAACTGATAGACTAGAGGAAATGCAATAAGTCAACAGTACCCACAGCTAATTATTGGGCTACTTTATTCAATAACATGCATACATGATCTCAAAGTAAGTAGCATGATTTTTTTTCAATCAATATGATACAAAATATGGACCCTTGAATCCACACTCCTGCACACCAATCACTATTCCACATTCAGTCTCAACAGAAAATGAAGTAAATTCAAAATACTAAGTGTGGGAAGAAAAATCAAATGCAGACATTAGTCAAACCATAATCTAATAAATTCAAAGTAGTCAATCCCTTAGTTTGTCCATTTATTAACAACTGAAGAACAAGTAAGGTTATATAATCTGTGAGATTCGCATGCCACTAGCCTTTAGATAACTCCTACCTAAATACACGTTTAACGTGAACTGCGCTGGAGCATGATGACATCATCATACGATGAACCGACTCCACCAATAGGAAGATGACATAACCTCCATGTGCAGTAACTCTCCCTATGAACTCATGATAACTTCATTCTTAGAAGAGGCAAGAAAAAAAAAAAGGTGCACCAGAAGTGGGGAGGTCAGGTGGGAATGTGTTAAGAGCTGAGTATCTCTTAGAATTATATTTTCAGATAACTCACCTCTTTACACAGAAATGCTAGAATCCCATGTTGACGTAGTGGAAGGGCTGGTGTACAATTTTACCTAGGTGAGCTCCCTTCCAAAAGCACCTGAATGGAAGCCCATGGAGTGTGACATCTGATGGCAGAGGTTACATTGAGGCATGCTTGTGGGAGACCTCATCTCCTCTCAATCAGGGTATATTCTTCTCCTGAGATGAAAGGAAAGGAAAAGCAAAAAAGCCTGAAGTGTTATAGGGATGGGCAGAATGTTTTCATGACCAACTGAGTACTTACATACAAGTGGTCAGTGAACCAATGTATGTAGTGGATTAGACCATACAATCTATGCTCATCTCAACTCTACTGGACAGGCTATGGCTACAAGAGGAGAGCATAGCAGCTATGTGAGGGGTAACCTCAACTACACTGACAGTGTCACCACCACTAACAGGACATGGGAGTCAGGCGAGGAAGTCAGTCAAGAAGAGAGGACAGGGGAAGAAAACATCCTGTGGTACCAGGAAAGGCAAAATGTAGTGGACAACACTGTCCAATAACCAGCAATGATGATGAACAAGAAACCATGGATGAACAGTCAATGAAAAAAAGGCAGAAAAGTGGTTCACAGTAGGACAGTCAGGAGGAAGGGAATGGCAAATGGAACAACAACAACAAAATAAAAACAAAGTGGAAGGGTGATAGGAATGAGACAAGAGGAAGGCTACACAACAGGAAAGTCTGACCTGATGGGCAATGAGCCTGACAAATTCCACAAGTGAAGGGGAAGGGATGGCATCCCTTGATAAAAA